TCCTCCTCCTCCTCCTCCTCCTCCTCCTCCCGCCCCTCCTTCCCCTAGAGAATTGCCCTCCCTCTGGGCCTGGCACTGCTCCTCGAGAGAGACCGGCTGGCCTGGCAGGCTGCCCCAGCCCGGGCCCGATGAAAAAGCCAGCGCAAGCCAGATCAGGCCAGACGGCTGTGGGCGGGATCAGTGCAGACGGGAGAAAAAACGGCAAAGCATACACATTTGGGCGCACCGCGCGGACGTCTGGGATCTGCGCTGCACCCGCCCCCGTCCCTGGCGCGCCTCCGGCGCCAGGGGCGGCGCCGGAGGCGCCGCCAGGGGGGCCCAGCGCGGTTCAAGAATCCCAGCCGTTTTGTCTTCTTTGAGGATTTGTGGGCGGCATCGATGAGCGAAGGGGAGCGGCACGATGCCGGAGTCGGCCAGTCCTCGACCACGGCTCTCTACCAGAGACGGTTCAGAGTTTCAGCTCCCAGGAGAGCTGCATCCGAAGCGAGGCGTCTGCAGGGTGGATGCCCATCGAGGGTCGACGAACCGTCGATCGGCCTCCATGCGTCCGCGATCGAGAACCTTCGGAGGAGGATCCTCGATAGACCCTCGATTGGGAGAGTGGGTAGATCGAGGATCGACCTCGATGGAGGTGTCCCCCCTGCTTCGGCCTCGGGCCACGGAGCCGTCGAGCCACGGAGCCATCGAGCCACGGAGCCGTCGAGCCACGGAGCCGTCGAGCCGTGGATCTGGGGCGCAGCACTGCCCCCCCCCCCCCCCCCGGGGGCGGATCGGGGCATCGACCCTTCGCCGTGGCATTGCTGCCACTTTTGCTCCGAAGTTGTGCAAAACTCATGTTTTGGACGCCCGAAATGGGCACCGAAAAAATGGGTACTATGCCCAACAGCAAATGTTGTCCCAAACCAACAGCGGCCGCTGTTGGGCGGGCGGCCTCCTGTCTCGAATGGACACAGGCCGCGGCGGCGCGGACAGCGAGTCCTGTTCAAAATGAACAGGAACTGCTGTTGGGCATTGCACCCATTCCTTCGGTGCCCATGTCGGGCGTCCAGACATGTGGTCCTCCACCCTCATTCTTCGGGCAGTCTTCAGGTAGAGGCCCCCTTGATGGGGTCCGAGTAGGTGGGGTCGGAAGATCGCGCCGCTTCGCCGATGCATTTCCGGTGAATCGTCGACGTCGGTGGTGCATCGGCGACGCCGGCGCGGAGAGAATCGGACTCCACATCGAGCCGCATCGCCGATGTATCGGCGATGCGGCGCTATCCTCCGACCCCACCTGCTCGGACCCCATCGAGGAGACCTGGCTCAAGCTCTCTCGAGCTGTCATGTGGGGCCATCGGGACCTGCTTGAAAACTTTCTTCGGCTGTCTTGCGGCCCTCTTGGTTCTTTTGGGGGTGTATCGGGGGCTGTGACAACGGCTCGAGAGCGGCTCTTGGACCCCGTTGCGGCGCCTTCGGGTTTCGTCAGCTCTCGTGTGTTCAGTGCGTTCCAGCGGAAGCCTTGCGGAACGTTCTGGGGACAGCTGCTGCCATGGGATCAAGGTGTGCCCCGCTCCACGGCGGTGAGTGGCCTCGATGGTGTGTCGCCTGTGTGATCCTGCACCCCTTTCTGCCATCTGGGGAGGTCTGGGCTCGCTGGTGCCACCCTGGGGACGTCTGGGGCCGCTTTTGGGGCCGAACTCAAAGGTCCCCTCTGGTCACGGAGGATGGAAGGGCCTGGAACCTCGTGGCGTGAAAGCTCCTCCTCCTCCTCCTCCTCCTCCTCATCCTCCTCCTCCTCCTCCTCATCCTGGTCCTCCTCCTCCTCCTCCTCCTCCTCCTCCTCCTCCTCCTGGTCCTCCTCCTCCTGGGGCCACGGAGGATGGAAAGGCCTGGAGCCTCGTGGCATGAAAGTTCTCGTGAACACTGCCTCCCCCCCCCCCCTCGGGGCGTGTCGGCCTTACCCTAAGGGGAGCCGATCAGACTAGGGAACTAGGGCCAGGTGATCTGGAGCCTGGAACTCGTGGCATGACAGCTCTCGCGAGCACTGCCCCCCCCCTCAGGGCGTGTCGGCCCTGCGTGAGGGGGGCGGATCAAGCTGTCAAACTGGGGAACTGGGGCCAGGTGATCTGGAACCTGCAACCCCATGGCATGAAAGTTCTCCTGAACGTTCCCCCTCCCACCCCCCTCAATGGGCGCCCGATGTATCCGGGGTAACTCGGGCCCAGGGTAACTCGGGTTCGGTTTCCCGAAAAACGAAACCGAGTTAGACCTGACCCGCCCGAGTTACTGCTGATGATTCGGGGCTCTGACCTCAGGGCGTGTCGGCCCCAAGGGGGTTGATCGAAATAGGGCCAGGTGACCCCGGGAGCACCGCTCCAGGCTCCAGGCTCCATGGGGCCACCGGCACGCACTACTTTCTACGTGGAGCAAATATAGGTGCAGTAGCACTCCGGGGAGGGGGGGAGGAGAGAGAACCCAAGAATCACGCCCCTTCTCCTCATTCTCCTCCTCCTCCTTCTCCTCCTCCTGCTCCCTCCTCCTCCTCCTCCTCCTCCTCCCTCCCTCCCTCCCTCCCTCCCTCTCCAGAAACCCTCCCAGCCACAAGAAATCGAGCCGCCCCACCTCCTGCAAACGTCGCAGCTGTCGACCACCGTCGTCGACAGCCGCCGATCGCAGTCGACCGTCGTCACCGACCGTCGATCGTCGATCGCCGTCGCCGATCGTCGGTCGGCCTGGGGAACCAAACAGTATCGATACCGCTACTCCCCGAACCTCTCCCAAGGCACGTTCTGACCGAGATCTCGAGACGAATCCGGCGGTGACGACGAGGGCCTTCCATGAGGCCGACAGAGGGGACAGGGGGCTAAGATTAGCGGTATGGGTACGTTTTCCTCCGACGGTCGTCGGTCGTCGGTTGTCGATCGCCGATCGGTCGATCGGTCGTCGATCGCTGGCGACCGTCATCGTCGTAGAGCGAACTCCGACCACCGTCGCCCAAACCGGTTCAACCCAGACCCGGGTCAGTCGGGCCTTGCAAGATCCTGGCTCTGCAAGATCGGTGCACCCGAACCCGGGTCAGTGCACCCCTGGCTCTGCAGCATCCTGCGAGATCCGGTGCTCTGACCGACCCCCGTTGGCATCGACCCCCGTCTCTTGAGCCCCGAGAATCAATTCTCGACCCTCGAACTTTGATCCTCGATCCTCGATCGTCGACCCTCGATCCTCGACATCCTCGATCCTCGGCCCTCGACCCTTGATCCTCGACCCTCGAATCGATCCTCGGCACTCGGTCCTCGATCCTCGGGGGGGCCTCCCCGGGACATGCGCAGCGTCCCCGCGATCGGCGGCGCGCTGTCGTGGTCCCCATAGTCGCCGTGCTTGGACACCACCTCGCCGCAGGCGCCGCCCACCTCGGCGGCGCGTCGCGCGCGCGCGCCAAAGGAGCCGATGTAGGGATCACTCCTGTCGCCGCCGTGGGCGTCCTGCCGCTGCTGCTGATGCTGATAGGTGCCGATGTTCTACCACTGCTACCAGAGGTTGGCGAGGTGGGAGGAGGAGGGGGAGGAGGAGGAGGAGGAGGAGGAGGAGGAAGGAGGAGGAGGAGGAGGAGGAGGAGGAGGAGGAGGAGGAGGGGGGGAGGGGAGAGAGGAGGAGGAGGAGGAGGAGGAGGAGGAGGGGAGGAGGAGAAGGAGGAGGAGGAGGAGGAGGAGGAGGAGGAGAGGCTGAGGAGGAGAAGAAGGAGGAGGAGGAGGAGGAGGAGGAGGAGGGGAGGAGGAGGAGGAGGGGAGGAGAGGTAGGAGGGAGGGGAAGGAGGAGGAGGGGGAGGAGGAGGAGGGGGGGAGGAGGGGGAGGAGGAGGAGGAGGAGGAGGAGGAGGAGGAGGAGGAATGGAATGGAATGGACCGATCGCGAAGCGATTAAAAACGTCACCCAATCCGCCGCCGACATCGACTCGGCATAGATGAGGCTATTACGTCGGCATCTTGCCGTCGTATATATTACTAATGTACTCGATTCGCTTTGGTGTGGGGGAGGCCAAACAAACGGAGCCCAGACCTCTGAGCTGGGCACTCCCATAGTATCCACACTCCTTGCAGAACCATAATTTGAGGCCCTTGTGATATAATAGGTTATGACTGACATGCGTGAGACCACCCCCGATATGAATAGCTTGACCCCTCGGCAACCGAAGAAACTCCGAATTATGCTGCGGAATCGGTTCAAGGCACGGGGCGATCCTCCACTTAGTGAGAGCGTATTTAGCAGCGCTGCCACGACACCTGAGACAACTTCCCCCGTCATCCGAGAGCTGGTGCTGGGAAATAAAAAATAAACACAGCCGCAGGAGAGGGAGGGGGCAGACGCACTTTTTTGACCAAATGGGGCCGCTTTTCGGCAACCATGGCGTCCAGAGTGGACCTGAGAAGCCTTTTCCGAACTAGGATCGCCTTGTGTTCAACCTGAGCAACTTGCGCCCTGGCTGGCGCCTGAACTCTGTTCTCTTTCGCCGCCAAGCCTGCTAACTCGTCAGCGGCCGTGTTCCCGAGAACCAACCAAAGCGGGTGAGGACCCGAGACCTGGGGCAGCAGACAGGTGCGACGGCACCTGGAGAACTACAATCTCAGAAAATTCCCTAAACGCCGCAAGCTGACCTAGCTCGTGCCAGAGGTCCTGATCCTCCCCTTTATTGTCAAGGAATCGTCGACCGTACCAGCCTGCACTCACCGACTCTTTGTCAGACACAAAAATAGTGAAGCCTCTACTGTAACGTACTGCTAGAATTAATGCCATTAATTCGCCTCCAGGCACAGACTGCTTGGGGCCATGGAGGGGGCCGCGGATCGCAGTACCGACTCTGAAAGGCTCAAAGCTCGAGACCGAGACAACACCAAGCCCTACCCTGCGGAGGCGGGGGTCCCTGGAGTCTTCACCCCCACTCGCGTCCCCAAAGAGAAAATTTGGGCTCTCGTGGACGCCCACCCCAAGAGTGGTGGGGCCCAACTCATTGAAACCACTGATGGCCCACTGAGGCTCAAGAGGAGGAGGGGGCACTTTGGTCCAACTCCCTGGGATGACCCCCCTGAGCCAAAAACAGGCATGAGACTCGTGTTGAGCCACCGCCTCTGTGGTCAGATTGTCTGACTGCTCATATGCACGGGACCCGACATTGCAACGGCATAGCCACAATCTGTGCAGAGGGGTCTCGGCCGCCTCTCCGCATCTCGGGCAGGTCGCTGTGTCGAGGCCACCAACCTCGTCCATGATGCGCTGCCGAGGCCATGTGCCCCCTGCAGCCACGCGCAACATCGTCTCTGCTAGCTGGTGGCCCTTCTTGGCGCTCTCCAGCAGCTTGAGAAAGTGACGGAAAGACATGTTGTCAGCCCCCTCCTGCAGGCCCTCGCCGCAGAAGTGGCTGGCTGCACTAGCCCACTGGTGGGCACGGATGGTCTTGTCAAATTCGTCAACTAAAGATGACACGCCATCGCTTGGGCCGAGTTGATCAGAGACGAAAGCCTCACGATCCAGCTCTCCCCCAGGTCTTGCGCCCCATTCAGACGGTGAAACTGGGCCCCATCTGTACTGTAGCAAATAAGCCACCAGCGCGGACAAAGGCCCCCTGACACGACGGGAGCGCATCTGCACAGGTAGAGCTGTGAGCTTGGACACCACCACTGGCCAAGCTCGAGCGATGCCCGCTCTCCAGTGTCCGACTGCCAGGTCGCCAGCCAGAGCTTGACTGTGTCGGCGGGCAGCCTGTAGCCTGGGCCCATGTCGGGGCATCGCAAGTCGAGCACAGTGGTCAGGGAGCGCCCCCGTCGAGAGGAGCCCGCCGCGTGCCCTAACTTTTTTGTCTCATGCTCAACATGCTGCCCCCGAAGACGCCCAACACCTCGTGGCCGTAGTGGCCAGCTGGTTGCGCCCCGCACTGTTCGAGGCGAACTGCAGGACGGTACCTCTTCGAGGCTCTCGCAAACCGAACTATATTGGAGGACATGGCGCCAGCCTTGGCAACCCGCTTGCGCGCGGTGGCCCTGGCCTGGCGCCCTGCCCCCATGTCGATGCCTAGGTAAGCCGTCTGCAGGACGGGGATGACCTCAACTCCCTTGGCCGTCAACTTGGCCGAGATGAACTTGGCGTCCTGAAACTTCGAACATAAAATCACACTCTTCGCTGCAATCTTCAGGCCGTCGGCGTCAAGCAACTGAGACGTCTGATGCAGCACTCTGACCATGACCTTCCGAATAACTTGTCGTGGTCCTGCCATAAACTGCGACAGGTCATCTATCCACAACCGCATGTCGACCAGAGGGTGCCTCTGGGACATCTGATCGAGCACGAAATATGTCATGCATCTCGCGAACCTCGTCCCGCTGCGCAATCCCTGGATCACGCTCCTCGTCGGTTGAAAGGGTTCCGAGAAACAGCCGCGCGCCGCAAGGGTGCGCGCTGACAGGCATAGTTGTAGTTCCAGATACAGCATCTGGGGAGGGAACCCCAACTCCAGAGCTGTGGTGGCCAGTCTGGTCCAACATATGCTGCCGTAGAAACTCTGGACATCGACTTAACCATTAGAGAAATCAATGCCGAGCAGGCTGTGCACTTCATCGCTGAGGGCTCTGGCGAACCCTTCGCGAAGCGCCGCATTGCCCGCCACTGCCGCGTCCCAGAAGGGTTGTGTGTCGGTTGACCAGGTACTGATCCACGGTTCTCTAGATTTCGACCACACCCTCGGTATCATGCCCACAAGGCCGATGATGCGGTCTCCTCCTGATTTCTTCTCCAACATTCTGCCGATTGTCAGGAGCAGCTGCCACGGACAGGTCAGACAAGCCTCAGCATCATTGAGAAGCTGAGCAAGTTCGTCCAACCCCTCTGGGGGCAGGCGCTCTATGTCTACTGGTGATAAGCGGTCCACTCCTTGGCCAGCACGAGGCCTCATGGAGTGGGCCGCCTCCTGAATCATAGGGCCCGTCAGCGGTGGTAACGATCGCAGGTCGGCTTCAGCTCTAATGTCGTCCAGCACCTGAAAGAGCCTTAGACCATCAAAACTGTCGCCGCTGCTCCACAAATCATGCCAACGGGTGACCTTCCTATCGATAATGGCTTTGGGATGATGTAGTACTTCACCTTTCAGCACGAGCTCTTCCACTGGTGGTGGCGGTGACTTGATGGACTTGTGTAGGACGGGCAGCGCCGCCTCGGTCGCCATCCACGTACGAAACTCCTGCAGAGAGATGCGAAGTGCTTTGCCCCTGGCGCGCTTGGTGGCGCGGGTGGCCACCTCGATCATGTTCTTGAGCTGCGGGATGCCTACGCCCAGCGGGCGTGAGAGAAGACTGATCCAATCTTGCCAATCCCACCTCTCCGAGAAGAAAACGTGAGCTGTAGTGGGGTAGTCCGTGGTGAGGCGGTCGCACGCGTCCTGGATGGCAGAACATTGCTTGGCCCCGTTCTGGCGTTCGGTGTGCTTGAGCGCTCTCTCGAGGATAGTCGTGACCCTGCCCCACCACGATGTTGCTTGGTCCATCAGCGGCATAGCCCGTGACTTCTCGGGCATATGTACTTCGCGAACCACAAAAGAAGGACCATCCGCTCGTCGTGGGCCTCGCATGTCCTGTTCATGATGGCCTTTGATAGTCAGCTCCAGCGTTGAAGCCCAAGCCGCGTATCTACCGCTGAGGGCCTCCACATGGCGAGCTCCTGCGCGGAATGCGAGGGAGTCCCTGGCTGCTGGCCAGGCACAGGGGGCTGACAGGAGGAGGGGGAGGAGGAGGAGGAGGAGGAGGAGGAGGAGGAGGAGGAGGAGGAGGAGGAGGAGGAGGGGAGGAGGGAGGCTGGGAGGAGGAGAGAGGAGAGGAGGAGGAGGGAAGGAGGAGGATGGGAGGAGGAGGAGGAGTAGGAGGAGGAGGGGAAGGAGGAGGAGGGGGAGGAGGAGGAGGAGGAGGAGGAGAAGGAGGAGGAGGAGGAGGAGGAGGAGGTGGAGGAGGAGGAGGAGGAGGAGGAGGGGGAGGAGGAGGAAGAGGACCTCTCCATCCTCCCTCTTCCCCCGTCCCGCCTGTGGTGAAGTGGGTTGTGAAACACTGGCCCATCGTATCGATGTTCCTCCTCCTCCCCCGCAGCCCCCTCACTCCTGACGCTGGCCCACTGTGGACGACGTGCATTCCCAAACGGTCGGGCGCACCTTGACGCAGGTCAGGCATGCCCCCCTACAGGCGGATTTTGGACGAACAATAAAAAGCACCCCAAAGATGTTCAAACGTGGTCAAGAAATAATCAAAGAATCTTCCTCACACTATCTTTTCCCTATTTTCGAATCTCCCCCTGTATAGGGACAGGCCCGAGTGGAACCTCGACCGGACGGACCGCTGCGGCGGCAGGCGCGGGCCCCGCTCCCGAGGAGACGGGCCTGG